GTTCCTTAGGCTGATCTTGCCCGTGTTGTCCTCGTCGAACAGTTGGAAGGCACGCCTGATTTCGTCGTGTGGGTCTCGTGCTAATATCCGTTCGCTCACTGGATGATGTACACCGGCATGATCAGCAGGCGGTCGGTCAACACGCAAGAGGCTGAAGACGTACTGAGTTTGGCAAAATCTTCGAACTCGATCAAACCGGCCCCAGACTTGTCGTGATCACGCAGGATTTTTAACACCTCCGCTTTCTTCAAGTCAAAACCCAAAGCCCGCATGGCTACTTTTAGTTCGTGGTAGTCTAGTGCGCCATCCTTGTCCGTGTCGAACAGCTCGAAAGCTTCCTTGATTTCTTGTTTCTGCTCGTCGCTTATTTCTGGCCTAGACGCAGTTCTGCGTTGTTTGGCCTTTTGTGCTGCTGCTGAGGTGGTGTACAAGGACATTGAAGGAGTGGTGGAGTCGTTGAAAGCGGTGGCCGGTATTTGAATTTTCGCGACGCGTTTGTTTGTTGATTGCCAACAACCAGGTGCCTGTGTTCGTACGTGCGAAAGTCTACTTTGCCCAATCCGTGTACGCACACGATCCCACCGCCTTCATGCAGTCCGCCATTTTCAGATCCGGGAATATCTCGTCAGAGTACTTGAAGGAGGTGTATTCGACACTACTGGCCCGCGAAAGGACCCGAAGCGCGAGTCGATGGGCCTCTCGCGAAGCCAACCACCCTCCTGCCCAAGGGCGAAAGCGGGATAGCTGGAGGCGAATTTTGGGTGTCGGAAGTAACACTGGGAGTGACAAAGCTTTCGTCTCCTTTTACTCGGTCCAGGAAGCTTGTACCGAGGTCAATGAACAACGCAACCGTTATGGGGACATAGAACCCTACGATCGCAATCGCGTTCTCGTTGGCGTAGAGAACCAAGAGCAGCAGTCTGGAAGATATCTCAACGCAAGCTGGGTACGTGAAATCGAAGGGAAAGCTTGGTGGGTGGCCGCTCAGGTGAGCATGCATCCAATACTATGAAAGCGGGGCCAAGGATCTGACCTTGATGGATCATTAGGCTCCGTTGTTCGACACAACCCATGCGTTCTTGTCTCTTTTTACGTCTCTACAACCTCCCGCACTGCGTCTTCGTACCATTATCCAGCTTACACCAACCACTGAAAACGGTATTCGCAAAGCAGACCAATACATCCCAAGCTCCACGACATCATCGCCACTCCACTTTTACCCAGAACCAGAGCGTTCAGACCTACCTGCCATAGAGGTCACTCTGAAATCCGAAGAATCCATAACTGAAGCTGGGTGTACAATTAGCACCGTCGAGCTCAAGCTCCTGCCATCCCCCACTTCCCCAGCATCTGAATGCTTTGAAATCAAACATATCAACTACGTGGGCTGGCCTGACCATAGTGTACCATCGGATCCTGGCCAACTCGTGCATCTTGCACGAAAGGTTTCGGAAGTGAACACTGCAGCTTCGCCGTCAGCCGTTCCTCCCCCAATCCTATGTCACTGTAGCGCCGGCGTAGGGAGGACGGGGACGTTCATCGCTCTCTCCTCTTTGCTTCGTTCTCATGGCTTTCTCCCAACTCTACCCTCAAGCTACATATTTCCCTTGGAGAAGCTGTATCCTGCCTCTCAGCAGTCGCCGCTCGGTCCATTGCCATCCCCTGGGATAGGAGATGATCCCGTCGCTCGGGAGGTAGATGGACTCCGAGAGCAACGTACTACCATGGTTCAGCGAGGCGAACAGCTTGCTATCATTTATCAGATCCTGGTTAACATCATGGCAGAGCGTTAAGGTGCGCCACACCTATGTCGCCGTATGTTTTACGAACCATTGTATGCAATCAACCCTGTTGGATCTTGAAGGATCGTCTACAATGGGTGTTCAGGTATGACTCGACTGTGTCTTGGGCTCTCTTGCCTTGCCACTACACGCCAAACGACTTGTTGCGATACAATAGAGATTGTGGTTTCTTCAGGTTCCAGTGCACCTGTATGGTATATGGTATACAGGGAGCAGTAATGCCATCGGGCGGTCAGGAAGTCCAAGCTCTAATGTATCACCACCGAGGCACGATGGCCGAGTGGTCTAAGGCGCTGCACTCAAGTGTAAAAACTTGCGAGTTCACCTCGTAGCATTGCAGTCTCGAAAGAGGCGTGAGTTCGAGTCTCACTCGTGTCAAATCTTTTGTTTTTGTTTTCATCACAATTACTTTACTGACAGGCGCCACAACAGCTGGATAACTTTTTGTATTTCCCACAACGGATAGGTAGTGTTCAACCAGGTGCTATTGTACCATCGTTAAATTTGTTATTTCTGTCCCAATCGCTCGGCTAACTTTCGGTCCACGACATCTTCAACAATCTTTTCCACCAATGCCTTGAGTCCCCGCTCCTCTTCATTGGATTCCTCCCCCTTCCTCCCGCCTAATGCAGCCCAGACTGCCTTCTCGACGTACTTGCCCACCATGTCGACTTCGATGTTGACCTTGCGTCCAATCTCCTTCTTGCCGAGGCCAATCTTGTTCTGGGTATGCGCAATCAGCATGACCCCGAAGGTACGATCCTCGTCGTTGACGCTGGTGAGAGTCAGAGAGGCCCCGTCAATTGCGATGAAACCCTTCGGGATCAGGTAGGGCAGAATCGACAATGAGCGCTCTGTCGGGGGCAGCTGGAACAGCATGCGAAGGGAGTTCCCGTCTTCGGTCTTCGAAAAGACATTGGCCGTTGTGTCTATGTGACCCTGAAGCCCGGTGGAGTATCGTTAGCGTTGCGAAGAATAGGGGGAGGATGATAGGTAGACCTGGACGAAATGACCGCCAAAGCGAACATGTGCCGCCAGAGCCCTCTCGAGGTTTACTAACTGGCCCACAGTAAGCTCTCCTAATAGAGAAAACTGGTTAACAGAGGTGGGGTACTCGTCTTGGCAACTCACCCAGGTCCGTTCGGTCAAGAGTCTCGGGAGCTACTCCGATCTTGAACCACCCGCCGTGTTCTTGAAGGTTGAACTCGGTCACGGTAAGGCAAGCGCCATTAACACTAATGGAGTCGCCAATATGACAATCGTTGAGGATTTCGGCACTATCGCCCACGGTGATGCTCCACCCACCACCGCCTGATTCGGTGGTGTCCAAAGGGTCTATGGCAACTATCCGGCCTTGGTGTTCAACCTTTCCCCATATTGTTAGCTAGCAATTCAGCAGGTAGAACGAAACTCACTAGCCCGGTGAACATGGTTGAAAGACGGGTGTTCGGGAATGTATTAGTCACACGCGCAAGTATCACAGGCTTACTGTGAAGATGACGAATACCCGGGATCCTTCCTTTATAGCGGTGTCGTAGTTCCGACCACCGATATGTCTAAGCAATCTAGCGAAGTCGGAAGAGGGATGTGAGTCGTTCCTAACTACCTACGAAGCAACGAACTACTAGTCCGTTGCCCCCCGTGGCTTAGACACCCAGCAATGAAGGATCGTCGATTTGTGCATTCGAAAATAGTGGCAAGGTCAAGCAGCGTCGGAAGGGCAGCTAACTGGGGCGAGGTATATTCTTATGAGCGCCTTATTGCTCAAGTTAAGCATGTCGGTTGGCAGGAATAGCTCAAATGCATTCAAAAGTACGAATTTTGTCATTAACAATCTCAAGATATGTGCTTAAATCATCCGTCCAATGAGAGTTCTTTATAGAATGTTATCGATGGAGGCTGAGGAATGAGTTGCCGCTTCAGTGAACAAACCTTGCAGGAGTAGTGGAAGCGACGCGTTACCTTTGTGCATAACGCAGGCACGGCCTTGATAAAGTCTTTGAACTCTTCAGATGTCTCATGACTGATCGAAAAAGGCGTTCATGAAGGCAACGCAATGAATACGTAGCTTACTTACAAGTCAAATGCATCGGCGTTATCATACCTACATAAGGCGCGTCAGTGGATTAAAAGTGATACATGCAGAGCAAGACTCACTCTTCAAAGACCATCAATTGATGTTCAAATCGGCATAAACGATAGGTCAAGGTTCCAGGTTCATCCGTTTCTGTATGCTTCTTGATCTTCAGGATCAACTTTGCAAGTTCATCGGCTGCTTCAATAGACTTTGCTTCAATCTACAAACACGGTAAGGTGGGTTAGCCTCCACTGTCGATCTGCGTGCTAGATGTGGGGGAATGTGTGAAACCACTTACGTGTGCATGAAGAATGACTTTCCCGCTGATGGCATGGGCGTTTGCACTCATAGCTGACTCTCTGGAGAAGAACAGGGTGGCGTGGTGGTGAC